ACAACTCTTGGCCCCAAAGCAGGGCTATTTCTTATTTATTTATTTATTACAATCTATTGACAATTAGGTACAGTGATATTGAATTTGTGCACGTTTCATGGCTAACTGTTGCCTGCGGCGCTGCGCGAGGTGTCAACAAAGCAATGAAGCTAACAACAAAATCTGTCGATTTTTGTTGTTGTTGAGTGTTGAAACTGTGGCTATTGATTAATTATTGTTGGCTTCGTGCAACCTATTAACATTTGACCTTGTTTGCATTTCAGATACCTCCAGCTATTACTTTCCATCACAAAATCGTTTTGTGCCATCCTCTGGCTCTTTCCCGCGCCAGCTGCAGCAGCAGCAGCAGCCGCATCAGACACTTAATGGCTTTCGCAGTAGCACAGGTGGCTTCTCGCCCGCACCGGGCTCATACCAGGAGCAGCTCCTGTTCATAGCCAATGAGAATGGCAACGGCAACAAGCAAACAGCGATTACAACGAGCTCGCCGTATGGAGCACATTTTGGCGCTAGTCCACAATTTGCCGTAAGTTTTTCAACTCTCAATTGACTCGAGTTGCAATTGCAGCTCTAAATTTAAATATTTATCGTCTGTTTTTCAATTTTTTGTACTTTTGCTTTTGCTTTTGCTTCAATCAAAGTTTTGGCTAGTTGCATTTTGTTTTTTATTGAGGAGAGTTAACAAGTAACAGGTAATAGATAGATAACTGGCAACAGGTAACAGCTAACAGGCAACAGGCGATGTACGTACAGACTGTGCTGCAGGCAATTAAGTAACTTGTTGTCTGTTTCTGGGCCTGAGCTGAAGTCGGAGCTGGAGTCGGAGTCCAGCTGCAAGTCGACGACTGAGTCCGAGTCCATGTCTGGCATTTTGGCACGCAAAGCAAAGCTCTGCCAATCAACGCCAAAAACGAAATCAAATCAAATTCATAAATTACCACATGCCACATGCCACATATGAAATTTGATTAAGCCAACTTGCAAAATGCAAACAGCAAGGTGCAGCTAGCCGCTAGAGATGGGCGCGTGACACGCGTGTGCAACAGAAATAGTTGAAGCTAAACTATATCGTATATGTATAAACCTAATTTAAACTAATAATATTACAAATATGTATTTCCTGGCAAATATTTCTACATAAACCTTTTTGCAATTGCAATAGGAAAAGAGTTTTCTGGGAAATTGTTGAAATACCAGTTGAGGAAATTAAATTAGCTTCGCCCAGGCTCACGCAACATAAATCGAATTACAGGCCGAACAATGCAAGAAGCGGCGGGCGTACGACTGACTGACTGACTGAACGGTCAGAGAGATGTGGAAGCATTTCCAAATCCATTTTCCCACTTACTTTCACTTTGCCCGGCCCAAGCGGCGCAAAATGCGCAGACAAAAGCCGATGTCTTCTGCATATCAACGAATCAACAATAAATAATATTTGTTGTATTACTCGAAATGACTCGAATGTGCTTGCTTGCCTCTTGGCGGTCCCTTAGGGGAACGTGTTCCTAATTGAAAAA